TATCATTTGCCTGTAAGCAAAAACTGGTGGGATCATAAAATAGAGAAAGTCATAGAAAATGATAAAATTAAACTGCTCTGGGACTTCAGAATTCAAACAGACAAGCACCTGCAACATAACACCCCAGACTTAACAATTGTCGATAAGAAAGACAAAAAAGTCTGGATAGTGGACGTGGCAGTGCCTGGAGACAGCAGAATAGAAGAGAAAGAACTGGAGAAGATAACAAAATACAAAGACCTACAAATAGAAATAGAAAGACTGTGGCAAAAGCAAGCAAGGGTAGTACCAATAGTAATATGCTCCTTGGGTGCAATCCCAAAACAACTGGAGCACCACTTGAACACCATTGGCATTGACAAATTCACTATTAGTCAATTGCAAAAGGCGGCCTTACTAGGAACTGCTTCCATCCTGCGATGATATCTGTAATACCATCAAACATCCACATCTGCCTATCCCAGGTCCTGGGTAAGTACTCGATAGGTAGACAAAATCCCAAAATCCAGTCTGAACATCTGGCTGACTGTGCGATGATCCATAATAATAATAATAATAATAATAATAGTAGTAGTAGTAGTAGTAGTAGTAGTAGTAGTAGTAGTAGTAGTAGTAATAATGTTGGAATGGACCTTGGAGGTCATTGAGTCCAACCCGCTGCTCAGGCAGGAAACCCTACACCATTTCGGACAAATGGCTGTCCAGTCTCTTCTTAAAACTTCCAGTGTTGGAGCATTTACCACTTCTGGAGGCAGGTTGTTCCACTGATTAATTGTTCTCACTGTCAGGAAGTTTCTCCTTAGTTCTAGGTTGCTTCTCTCCTTGATTAGTTTCCACCCGTTGCTTCTTCTCCTGCCTTCAGGTGCTTTGGAAAATAGCTTGATTCCCTCTTCTTTGTGGCAGCCCCTGAGATATTGGAATACTGCCATCATGTCCCCCCTTGTCCTTCTCTTCGTTAAACTAGACATACCCAATTCCAGCAACCGTTCCTTGTATGTTTTAGCCTCCAGTCCCCTAATCATCTTTATTGCTCTTCTCTGTACTCTTTCTAGAGTCTCAACATCTTTTTTACATTGTGGTGCCCAAAACTGGATGCAGTATTCCAAGTGTGGCCTTACCAAGGCATTGTAAAGTGGTATTAATACTTCACGTGATCTTGATTCTATCCGTCTGTTAATGCAGCCTAGCATTGTGTTGGCCTTTTTGGCAGCTGCAGCACACTGCTGGCTCATATTTAGGTGATTGTCTATTCCAGCACCCTTTTTTTTTTTTTTTTACAAAAAAAAGCACTGATGGCTAGATCCCATCTCTTGGCATAAATAATGCAATATAACACTTTCAAGCTAAATGTCTGTTTACCCTTTTTTAAAGGCTGTGGATGTATTGTTTACTGTATTCAAGCCTGAAGTCATAGAGGAACAAAATAGGACAAAATTCATTGAATGAAATATCCCATTTCAAAAATGAATGCCAAATTCCTATAATAACCATGAAAATATATGAAGTGCTAAATTCCCACAACTTACATTTATCAGGGTATCTTTTCTTGGAAATTATCACTAAAAATTCCAACATGTTAGAACAAATAGAGGTAGATTTAATAACTAACAGTACGATCTATATAATTAATTGAAACAAAAACAAAAAATTAACTTGATAATTAGAGTCTTCATTTTGTTTCAGTTGTAGAGGAAGAGGTAGAAATAATAACAATATGCTATTTTTGGTACATTGCCTAGTGAAAAGCAAAAGGAAATGGAAATAGTTTGGATGGGTAATGCAGAATTTCTTATGGCATTAATGATAGGAATTTTGTTTATCAAGTTAACCAGCAATAATGTACCATTTCACTTTATCTTCTTTCATTCCAGAAAGAATACATTTGCTAGATAACAAAGCAAAACCAAACCAGAGGTGTTTTCTTAAATTTCCATTAAAACATAACCGGTTCTTAGGTTGCCAAAAGAATTCTTTTATATAATAATGCATAGCTACATAATAATCTACTGTAAAAACCGGGCAAGTTGCATATTATTTTTAGTTTACCATGTTTTCATACATTGTTCTATTTATTACACTACAGAGAATAAACTTAAAGAAATGGCTCTACCCTGCTGGTACTTTATAGCGGTTGCTACCTTCCGTTCCCCTGTCAGTTAACATGAAATATCTACACATCCAACATACAAACACCAATTGTAATTTCATTAAAGAGGTATTTACTGAGCCAGCTGCTCAGAGCAGAAATATCCCAACCCCCATAAAACAGATACTTTAAGGATGTATTAAGGAAACTGACAAACACATTCACTCTGTCTGTGTATTAGTTCAGACTCCCAAAACTAGCCTTGTTATCATGTTCCATGTAAATTGTTATTAGAGAATTTCATACATTTGAATCTGTAACTAAAAGTACTTTATTTCTAAGGGGAAAAACCCTATATTACTTGCTACATAATTACAGTTATGCAGCTGGTCTCTTAGGCTTTGCTAGAAATTAGAAAACATGAGGTGCTGCACAAACTGTAATCAAATGTTATTAAATGTTAAGCCAAGGAAATGCCATCTCCACACCAAATATTTCAATCTGTAATATTGGTTACGTATCTAAGCTTAAATAAAGTGGCACAGTCAACGCATAAGTCAAGTTGTATTTAACTGGAAGTAATTACAAATACTTTCCATCATTTATAGAATTCATTGCCCCTTAGTATAAATGTGTCAAACATACATTAAAGAAGAAAACTAGTCATAATAATAAATCACTGAAAACTCATCAATATTCATATTGTTCACTTTACATTTTCAAAATGCTTTTAGAATTGCATTTCATTTCATAATGCAACGGTTGGAACCCTTCCCAATACAGGAATCTGCTATTGAACCTTGCCTAGTAGAGAGCCATGCAGTATCTGTTTAAGTAGTTGAACTGATAAAGGAACTAGAGCAGTGTTTCTCAACCTTGACAATTTTAAGGCACGTGGACTTCAACTCCCAGAATTCCACAGCCAACAATGCTGGCTGTGGAATTCTGGGAGTTGAAGTCCACATGCTTAAAATTGTCAAGGTTGAGAAACACTGAACTTCAGTAAGGATGTCAAACTGCCAGCCCATGGGCTGCATGCGTCACGCTGAAACCACGCCCACCCCATTGCTGGCAATGGGAAAAAAGTCGCAATATGTCGCGACAAATCACATGACGTCACGAGTTTGACACCCATGAACTAAAGAAAACTATTAAATAATGAGACAGTCAGTTCCCTTGTTGAAGAGTAATTATTATTATGAAATCTTTCCTGAGGCTCAATCAAAATCTACTTTCTTGTATTTTAAACTCGCTTGTTTTTTTGCCTACCCTCAGATATTTGGAGACATTATTTCTCTTCATAGTCTCTAGGATAAACCAAGGCCATCAACTGTATGTATGTATGTATGTATATGGACAGACAGACAGACAAATAAATAAGTGATACTTTAGTCTAGTGTTAAGGCTTTATTTCCAGGAGACTGTGAATTCTAGTCCCATTAAAGCTGGCTGACTTGGGTTTGGTCACTTCAGCCTATGACAATGGGTTCAGATAACAAGCCATTCCTATTGCAATCAATGGATCAATACTTGGTTGATCCAAAAGAGCAGATCCTGAACTTGCAGGCAGTTCATAGAAAACTGGAATTTCATAATATTGCACTTATGGCAGGAAGGAGGGAAGTGATACATCCATATCCAGAAAACCCCCCAAACTTTAAATCCCCAACCAAACAGAAATTTAAAATAAACCACTGGTTTTTAAAATTAGAATTACAAGATTTGGAAACAAATATCCAGAAAATTTTGAAGCACAGGTTATAAAAATAAATAGTTATGTTTCTAGAGAGTAATAAGAGCATGTGCCACTATAAATATTATATCCTAATATACTATGCTTTTATTAACACTGCATTTTCTAAAAGTATTTTCCATACTTGTATAGAATGTTCAGGAAAATTAATAATGTGGGATTAACTAGTTTGAATATTTAATTTATTTACAGTGTGAAATTTATTTACAGTGTTATTCTTTCAAGTGACATAACAATGAACATTCTCTGGATTATGTCTTACTAGTATTACTTAGTGCTGTCACATTAATTTCACAGCTGATCCAATAATTTTTTTAATCAGTTATTAAATTTTGGTGAAATTATTTAGTACATCTAAAAAAAACGAATAACATGTAAGAATGATATAAAGGAGAACAGAGAGCCTATTCCTTTATTGCCTGGTTAAGCAACTTTTTCTCCTTCAGTTCATACTCCTGATTTGCTGTTAGATTGTAAGACTTCCAGTGACATACAACTTTTCATTCACATTTCTCAGGGTTTCAGGTTGGGATTAGAAATGTTTTTTTATTGTGTATATATGCCTCTGAATCATTTTTGACTCCTGGGGGCTGCCTGGACAAACCCTTGCAGTTTTCTTGGCTTTTGGAAATGGTTTGCCATTAACTTCCTAGCTTGAGAGAGTGTGACTGGTTATTCAGCTGGCTTTGTGCCTAAGAACTCCCACTCTCCCAGGTTTCTTGCCTGGTGTCTTAAAGCACTACACGAAAGTGGCTCCTGTGCTTTCATTCACACTCCTAAACTCATAACCATGAGTGAAAATTGCATTAACCCTATAATCAATCATTTTTACCATCACATTTTATTGATGAAATCTCTCGGTGTTCTGGGGCCTGCAATGAGATCTTAAGAATTACTGCTTCCATGTGTGTAGGTGTTCTGATTCTGGCATAATAGTATAGTAGTATAGTATAGTAGTATAGTATAGTATGGTAGGGATACTGGAGCTAAATATCCCTAATTACCAAACTGTATCTCCTTAAGAACATGTGTTCTTAATAACAGAAGTAAATAAATACTATAATTCTTTTAACCAATATGCTTTTTTCCTGATTTATAATATTTCATATGAATAAGTGTGGCAGTTCTAAAAGCACAATGAATAATTAGCATTTTTCTTACCTTCCCCTTGGCAAATCAATGTCATCTTTCTTCCAGCGAACTGTTGGCTGAGGATCGCCTTGTACCTGGCATCTAAACTCAACAACATCTTCTTCCAAAACCACTTGGTTGATTGGTCTTCTGAGAAATGTGGGTCGTTCTTGAAAACAAGAGTTCCACATTAAATAAGATGGCTATGTTTCATTTCAAATATTGAAAATAGGCCAGCCCAGAATAAATTGATTGCCTAGTGATTTATTAAAAGATTTCTCTATTCTCATTAACAGTCATGAAGTCTAATATTTAACTTGTTTGGGGGCCCAGTATTTATTTAGTTTTAACAAGTTGTTATTTTTACTGTTTCCCAGATTTGTATTTTATATACAAAGAACTGAGTGTTTTATATTGTATCATGAATGTTTTCCTTTTTTTTTCTTTTTCATACCACGTAAGCCACTAAGTCAAACAGATTGTGGCAAGGTACAAAATAAATAAATAAATACATACATAAAGGGCTTTATATTTCACACAAATACTCATTATTGTATTTGGACATCATTTCTACATTTTGCCTATTGTTAGGCAAGAATATGCAAGTTACTGATTCCTTTGTGCTTATATATTATTCATACAGCATGATTTCTCCATTATTCAATTAATGTAATAAGCTGCTTAGAATAATGTCATTCAATTAACATTCTTTATATAATATTAACAGCCAGTTTGCTGTAGTGGTTAAAGGCACTGGGCAAGAAAACTGTGAGTTCTGGTCCAGCCTTAGATGAGAACCTAGCTGAACGACTTTGGGCCACTCAGTCTCAGAACGCAGGATTAAACTATTTATGAAAATCTTGCCAAGAAAACTGAAGGGACTTGTTGAGTGTTCAAAGCACATACTGTACATGCATAGACAGTAATATCAACTGTATTTAAATCAGATCTACAACATTTTTACAATGTTAATCCCTCATTGGATAAGAGGCAATTATCTGGTATATCCAAAGTATAGTATATTTTTTTCATTGTGCAGCAATGTTAATTTCAAAATAGGCTGAAAAGTTTTTTTCTATTGATAAATTAATCAATAAATGAATTCATAAATTTGAGTTGGCATCATTACAATAATAATTTTATCAAGAAGATTCAGCATGCAAATTAAAATAAAGACCTATTATATTCTATATTAAATAAAGTATTTTTTCAGATTATAGCTGAATAAATATATTTTACTATCTCCCAAATTGTTTCTGTGTTGAATAATACAAGCCTTAGAGAAGAAATGCATATAAAAGAAATTATAAGAGATCATTTCGTCAGTCATGGATTCTGGCTTGTTATAGCAATTTTGCTCAGATACTTTATTAACGTATACAGGTAATCCTTGACTACAACTGTAATGGAGCCTGCCCATTAGGATTGGAAGTCATGATAGCTATTAAGTGAAATGCCCACATAATCACTTGTCTTATGAGAGCCCCATCTCTTCTCTCCCCAATATGATTGATGGGGGCATTCCAGCAGTTATCATAAGGGCAAGTGACTGTGGGGGCACTGCAATGGCCATAACTTTGGGACTGAATCATAAAGAGCTTTGGGGCTATCTACTACAATTTCATATGGTCACTAAGCAACTGGTTATAAGTTGAGGAGTACCTGTATACCAAAGTTTAGGTTATTAATGGCACCTAACAGTTATGAGAGAATTCATATGTACAATATTGAATACATCATTGTCAAAAATTGCTTATCCAGTAATATTTCTTTGGAAGATGAAGTATCATTATTTATTTTGTTTATTTAATTCATCAATTCTTTCTCATTCATTTGAATATGTGATACTTTCTATGTAACTCAAGTAAAAGGAAAGAGTAACATTACAAATAAACTTAACTATCAGTGTTTAATGAATAGGATCTAAGCAAATGACTGACTGATGATTTTTATCTCGGATCAAATGAAGCTTAAAGTCATCTATTATTTATACTACATTTTGTTCCAGTATGCAGAATTATATATAATTATACAATTTATCTCCAATATGTGGGTCATCCATTATTTGTCAGTTTCTTTTCTAAACCTAACCAGGCTTTCCCTACCCCAAACTCCTATGGTCATGAAAAAGTTGCTTCTGAAAGCTGACAGAACCTTTTGAACAAAATGCTGTGGATGAATGTTGTCATACAGAAACAGAAATACACACTGTTCAAAACAGCAGATCAGAATTTCTAATTGCATTACAATTAAGTAAACTACGGCAATATCCTGCATACTGAGGAGATAAATGTGGCAGAAGATGTTTCATGCACTCAATCATTCCTTTTAAAATATGGCAAGTTTAAGAACTTAATTTAAAAATTTAATAGAATATTATTTGGGAATAAAAGCGAACATTTGTATCTGATTTTGAATAGAAATTAACATATGTAATTAATGTACACATTCTCTTTAAGCTATAAAAATCTGAAAAATTCAAAACTTTTTATCTTTATAGGAAACACTACAAAATATTACGAATACCTGCACAATATGTTTGGAGTCTAGTTTTAGTCATCCTTTGAGCAACAAAATTACATTTCATTGATTTTGATGAGTTTATGCTGATTAAATCTAAACACCAACTATAGTAATAATTATGTCAGTAGAACTGAGAATGGAAATGCTTCTTATTAACACATGCTATTTCCTTTCAATATTAACTTGCAATGATTATATCAGTAACTCTCTTTTTACAACCCTGTAATCTCTTAATTTTGGGCAGAGTCGGGGCAACTGGATGGAACTGAGCTTTCACTGACCAGATGCCCTTCCTGATGCCTACATGGATGAAAACAATATATTTTAATTTAACTAGTTATAATACTAATTATATAACTAGTATAATATAATTAATAATATTCTACTTATTTAGAATATGCCAAACTTATTTAGGAAAACTTCTTCATATACAGTTGTAATTTTGGTCCTTCTGCATACAGTATATTCACTGAGCTCCTGATAACCTTTTACTTTCTGTTACCCATTTTTACCAGAGGCTATGCCTCAAGCTAAATTCCTTGTATGGTGACCTAGATACCAGTTCCAAGTGATATGCTAGAATTAATTTTAGATACTGGTAGAAAACATTTTAAAACCAAAATAAAGGAATACAACCTGCAAATGTCTAAAAGTCAATATGTAAGAAAACAACATATATTTGACATTCAGCAGCTTAACGTTCTTCTAATTTATTAGAATTTTCTATGCATTTCCAGTAAATTGCATTGAATAGCTCTGTTCTGCATCTGTTCTGTATCCAGCAAATCTTAATTTCTTGCTTCAATTTTATTTTTAGAACATTATTTATAGGAATGGTTTTCTAAAACAAGGAATTGAAAGCAATATAAAATGAAAGCAATATAAAATGCCTAAAGAAAAATGATCATGCAACTTAGTCAATTGAGGCAGACATTTTCATGTCGAAGTTTTTTAACATAAACTTAGTATCATCTACCAGATTCAGCTTCCCTGTAGTGTTGCAAATATTTTTTTTTCTATCAGTCATGGAAATAATAGAATAGAATACAGTAGAGTAGAGTAGAATTAATATTAATAAACAATAGAATCTGAAATTTCTATCAGCTGGGGTAATATTTTATTAAACGCTTTTGATAATTTTCTAACAGGAACCAATATAAACAATTTAAGATATCTTTTTATATTTTAAAAATGAATTCCTAGGCTTTTATCATTAGACATTGTGGGACATAGTATGCACAAAGTAATTGAAGTAATAATAGTATCTTTATTATGTTTCAAGACCAGTATAACAACATGTTTGAACAACCTAAGTACAAAAGAAAAATATGAGCAAAATATAACATTTAATATATGGCATATTTATATTAATAAAACTACATAGCTATACATCTATAAATCTAGTTATAAATCTAGCTGTCTTAGAACAAAGGCACAAAACTTAGCTATTAAAAAGAGAATTTCGTGACACTTGTTATTTAATAAAACTTCTAAATAACATTGACTAGGTCAGCTGGCAGAAACATGAATGAATTTTAGAATTCCTTTACCAAAAACAGTAAGTTCTGCAGGATCACTATCCCGTTCTCCCACCATATTTGTGCCGACACATGTGTACATTCCAGCATCACTTTTTCTTGTATTTGAAATCATGAGCTTTCCACTTCGTATCTATTATAAAAAAAATAAAAAGGTAACTTGTTATGCACTATGAACTTTTCTCTGACATACCTAGAAATGAATAGAAAAACAGCAACAGTGCTTAATTTTAATTTAATTTAAATGTATAGGACTGTGCAATTTGAATGAACAATAATCATGATAAGTGGATAAGAGTACCACATTCAGTCTAAACATTTGGCTGACATACGATGAACACATAATAAAAAACTGCTCTGAGACTTTAGAATTCAAACAGACAGGAACCTGCCGCATAACTAGCCAGGCTTAACAATTGTCAATAAGAAAGGCAAAAAAAAGTCTGGATAGTGGACATGGCAGTACCTGGAGACAGCAGAATAGAAGAGAAAGAACTGGAGAAGATGACAAAATACAAAGACCTGCAAATAAAAATAGAATGACTGTGGCAAAAGAAAGCAAAGGTGATACCAATAGTAATAGATGCCTTAGGTGCAGTCCCAAAACAATTGGAGCACAACTTGAACATCATTCAAATTCACCATCAGTCAACTGCAAAAGTCAGCTTTATTTGGAATAGCTTATATCCTGTGACAATATCTATAACACCATCATATATACATATCTGCCTTCTTCCAGGTTCTTGGGAAGAACTCAACAGCTGAACAAAAATGCCAAATCCAGCCTGAACATCTGGCTGACTGTGCGATGAACCATAGTACTAATAATTGATGGGAATATATGGTGAAAAAATAGCTGAAAATGATCAGCTTAAAATATTATGCAACAAATACACATTGATAGTCCTGGCTCTTAACAAACCAGATGTAACTGTTATTGAAAAGAAAAAAAAATGTGGATAATTGATATGGCATTATCAGGGGGATGATAGAATAAAAGACAAAGAAATAAAGATCACAAAGCATCAAGATGTGAAAAGTGAAAGTTTATGGCATAAACTGGCTGTGGTGGTCCCAGTGATTATGGGTGCCATACCAAAAAAATCTTAGCACTTAGAAAATCTGTACATTGATAAAATTTTCACATAAGACCACACTGCTTGGATCTGCACATTTGCTATGCTGATACATTATGTCATCCTAGGTTCTTTGGTAGAACTCAATGAATATGGCCAATACCAGCTAAGAACTGACAGTTTTGATCTCACATAATTGTAAACAATAATGAAAATAATAATAGCACTCTGCAATGATACCTCTAATGCATAAAACATCAACATCTGCCTATCCTAGGTCCATGGGGAAGACTTGATAGGTGGATAAAAATGCCAAATCCAGTCTGACCATCTGGCCGAGTATGTGATGAATGATAATAATAATACTTTTATTAATAATAATCTTTAACATCATCAAAAAACAACATGTATCTATCCCTTTACACCCATATCCTTGGGAAGGACTCAATAGTTGGATAAAAATACCAATTTCAGTCTAAACATCTGGCTGACATTGCAGTCAACCAAAATATTAATGATTTCTTAAACTTACAGTATATGCTTCTTGAATTTCAACCACTCTGGGTGGTTCACAACAATAAAAAATACAATTAAACCAATAAAATATAAAAGATGGCAAGCACAATGAAGCAAGGAGTCTTTCCTTTACCAAAGGATGACGTTAAGAACCAGGTCTTCACAACTCCTATAGGTAACAGCAGAGAATGGGCAACATCTGAATCTCAGCCACACAACCTGGAATTTTGTACCAGTCATTTCCTTCCAGTCAACCATTCAAGAGCTACTGTGAGTAGTGCATTAATAGCACTACCAGAAAGCTTGATCAGTGATGCAGAGGAATCTACCTAAAACCAACTTTGACATACATGGATGACTTTCCAAGATGACCAGTTCCAACTGCAATCCTGCAGTATCTGCTGTATTTACCCAGGCTGGAGCTGCCTTGGTGCATGCTTTAGGAATCCAAAGCTATCTAATGTGGAAACATTTGGGATGAATTTTGGGGAGAAGGCTAAAAGGAGAGTTCTTTCATGTAATACTTTATTCCATTAAAGCTGGTTTGTTCATTTCAATGAAGGAAACATATCATTTCTATCAGCCAAATAACTTACAGAATGAAGGTATGTGCTTCACTGACCCTATTTTGTTTATATTGTGGTAACTGCAGTAATTATTTCTGTAAATTTGCATACAAATTCTTTTGATATTTTTATTTTATCAAACAAATATTAGAACTTTTAGTCGCTATATGATAAATTTGTATATTGCATGAAAAGCCATTTATTTCAATAATTGTCTTGAAAATCCATGGTGAGATTTGTTCTTTAATAATTCACATAGATTTAGCATTGTATGATCTACTTACACTTATTCTCTCTTCTCTATCATCTATTCGGATTTTGTCTTTTTTCCAGTAGATAGTGGGTTCAGGATGTCCTCGAGGAGGTTGGCACTCTAAGATAGCTGGTTCACCTGCTGCCACAACAACATCTGTAGGATTTTGGCGGAAATCATCCCGTAACACTGAGAAGAAGAAGAAGAAGAAGAAGAAGAAGAAGAAGAAGAAGAAGAAGAAGAGGAAGAGGAAGAGGAAGAGGAAGAGGAAGAGGAAGAGGAAGAGGAAGAGGAAGAGGAGGAGGAGGAGGAGGAGGAAGAAGAAGAAGAAGAGGAGGAGGAGGAGGAGGAGGAGGAGGAGGAGGAGGAGGAGGAGGAGGAAGAAGAGGGAAAATCCAGATTTATTACACATAACATCCTACAAATGAATAAGATATTAGAATAAAGATTGATGGTCCTTTAAAAAGACTGATGGTCCTTTAAAAAGCATGATTTCAAACCTACGCATAATCAGCCACTATAACTTCACAGATATCCTTTCTAATGACTACAACCTATAAATTTATTTTTTTATAGAAACACATCACTAAGTGTACTCAATATAAACATATCGGAGTTTTCAATCTGCAACCGTACCTCTGTTTAGTGCAACCTTTGGGGTGACAAGCCTTCATAGTTTTTATTCTAAACATTTTTAAATCAAAGAGAGAAGCAACCTAGAACTAAGGAGAAATTTCCTGACAGTTAGAATAATTAATCAGTGGAACAACCTGCCTCCAGAAGTTGTGAATGCTGCATCGCTGGAAGTTTTTAAGAAGAGACTGGACAGCCATTTGTCTGAAATGGCATAGAGTTTCCTGCCTGAGTAGGGGGTTGAACTAGATCAGGGCTTTTCAACCTTTTCACCCATTGTACCACTTTTAGGATATGGCAATATCCGAGTACCACCAGTCGCCTAGCAAGGTATCAAAAACTTGATGACAAAAAAAAGGAAAAAAGTGATAAAGTACAGGTAATCCTTGACTTACAACAGTTCGCTTAATGACTTTTCGAAGTTA